AAGAAAAAAAAAAAAAAAAAAAACAACAGAGAAAAGCAAGATCGACAATGCGAGAGCAAAAGGGAATCTCAAGCTCTGATTACTACTACGCTCTGAAAGGCGTTAAATGATCCCCCTCCCCCAAGTTATTGAAATTCAAGATCAATTATGGAGAGAACGTATTTTCGAATCGTAATGGGTCGTACGAATTAATCGACCATCGACTAACTGTTGCAAAAGATCACAGAGCTTTCCCATGTGAGCAAACCCACCATCTCGCCATTTTGTCCGTGAACCCGCGAGAAAGCACGCAAATATGTCGGACACAGTTGATTCGAGTTGGTCATACCGTGGCCGTTTTCCTCTGTTTTCACGTTCCTATTGTTTTTTGCGCGGTAAATACGTGGCGGAGGATTGTGGAAACTCCGTTTCGATCCGACAACTGTGAATCGACATAATGCGATGAAGGACACGGTCTTAATTAGGGTGACTGAATATCATTGTTCCTGTACCGCTCTCCCTTGTGACGAATGGAAAAGTGGAAGGGGAATGGGGAGGGAGATTTTCACAAGATCCAATATAGGTTTTTATTTGTACACGCAAAGATGAACTGGTTTAGGGATGGTAATAATTATCGGGTGGATTAAACGAATAACGTGTAATAGAATAATAAGGGAGATTAAACGATTATTTTTAATTGTTTGAACTAGATACGAATAATTGGAATTAGAATTAAATTATAATTATTATTCTCTATATTGTTTCTTTATTTTACGTTGGTAGTAATCAGAGATATGGATATATAAGATGTCTATAATAATAATTGTTCAAACAGAAATTGAATACTCGTCTAATTTCTTTTATGTATTCGAGTGTATATGCAAATTTAATTCTAGAGTAAATTCGTATTCAGATTTAATATTTGTATAATTGGAAAAATTGGAATATGTATATTCAAGATAACTTTACATTTAAACTTTTAAATGTAATTATCTCAGAACTTGTTACTATATTATTTTAATGTAGATTTTTTTTAATGTTATGTATTTTTTAATCCTTGTTCCATTTTTAATACTTTATTATTATTATGATAAAATCAATATTAACATTGAAATATAAATTTTTTTAGATTATATATACATTTATTGGAGGAAAATAAAATAGGATTAATCTATTTAAATATCTGTTTAAAATTTTTTTTTTTTTTTTCAAAATTTTCGCCAATCTTATCTAAACCAAACAATTCTATATATATAATCTCACATCTCAGAATACAACGTGGATCATTTATCACGGTAAAAGAGTGTCTTTCTTATTACACACTTACAACTTTATATATCCGCCGAAAAAAATCTCTATCATATCGTAAAGAAGAAAAAAAAAGATATATCATTCCATTTCTTGGAAAAAGAATAAATATAACTTTCAATATCTAGAGAATATAAATCCTCTATAAAGATGTTATTAACTCTACACATACGATACGATATTCTTCTTCCCTATCTTTTAAGAAAACTTTTATTCTTAAAAATCAAAAGGTTTCGAAATTGTTAAAAGCGGCCACGTTTAACGCGCCACCCTGAACGTGGAAATCTGGGATGGCGCAAACCGCTAAAGATTTCATTTGAATGTGGAAATACACGGTGGCGCGTAATTTTCTGGCCGGAGCGGCTTCGCCCATGCAGCAAAAGGTCTATAAAACCTGAATTCCCAAGGGTGATTCACGGGGCTCCGTGGAATCGTAAAAGGGTGTTTCTATGCGAGGACAAACGTGGTGAAAATGACATACCTTTTGCGTCTCGAGTAAAACTTTGGCGGGGAATCGCGCGTCGAGGAACACATAAAATGTGTTGTGGATATTTTGGATATAAAGATGTAAAGATATACTGTAAAGATCAAGCGGAAATGACGCGTTAAAGAGAAATTTGATTCGTGAAAATATGATTAAAAAAAATTTACATTCATTACATTTGGAAATTTATGGAATATTTAGTTATATCTGAAATAGAGAAATGTATGTATAATAAGTTAAAAAGTAGTTTGTTTGTATACGTTCGAATACATTACTTGGTAAATTTGCCATATATATTTTTTTGATAATTTAAATTTTTTTTACAATATTGTGAAAAATATATATACGTACAGATCGATTATTTTTTTGACCTCGATGTTAGGAGGAAATTTCTGCTCTTTATGATGTAGAATGTAGACTGGAATAAGTGGAGTTTCAATTATCATTTGTTCAAATACAGAAATTTTGAGTTCTTTAATTTTTTTGTCATAAAAGCCAGTTTACTTATAAATTTTTATTAAAGAATGAAATTTGCTAAGTCGAATTTTTTTTTTTAATATAATATGATTATAATATGAAAGGGAATTTTAAAAAGCAAATCAGAGATGCACAAGATGTAATGATATTTTTTAATTTAAGGTCTCATTTTGAAGTAAAAAGAAATTTAAAAATTTATTCAATACACGTAAATTTGATTAATTCTTGAGTAGATATAAATGAATAATCGAAATGAATAACGAAAATGTTCCACGTGTAAGAATAAATATTAAATGTGAAATAGAATATATTCATTTTATTACTCAAATCTTCAAAAAATCAAACTCGACATTTACATTAAATCCTCTCGAAAACAAGCCTTGACCTGAATAAAATTTCATCCTATATTTTCGATTTATTCTTTTATAAATAAAATTACTCTCTTCTTAATTGCATCACGAATACAGGAATGCCTTGTATTTTGATTTAAAAAATTTAAGATGACTTTTCATTTTGTAGGAACATAAATTACTTTTGAAATATTTATGATTTCCTCTCGCTGTGTTTAATTCGTTAACGAATTAAATAAAATTGTGCAATGAGCATTTATTTTAATATCTTAATTATATTAAAATAAGAGAATTCTTTATAATTTTCTTTGTAAATATTCTCGCGTATATATTTTTTTTTTTTATTCTGAACTTATGATTAAGCTGTTAAAAAGTCACAAAGCTCTAGTCAAAGTAAAAATTTCGAGTTCAGTTGCTGACAACATTCTGCATACTAAACCAGGTCACTTGCAATATGATGGATTGATGTTGCAACGTAGAAAAACTGACCAACAGAAAAACATTTCGGTACGTTATTTTTTGACGACATCCACACCATTCCTTTTTGCATACACTTTTATATATTTTATTTATGCATAAATAACAGGCTGCTTGAAAAAAGAGTAAAGAATATTTATCAATTTCAAATATATTTTTCATTAAATAATATTAAATATGAATTATTAAAATGTATTCAATAAGGAAATTATAAATAAATTGTTATAAATAGAATTTTTAATAGAAATTATATAGAAACAAAAATTAAGAATATTTTTCTTTTCTTCAAATCTCATTTTAAATAAATCAATATTAATTTGTAATACATATGGTTTTTATGTACGTTGTCAGTCGATTTAATATCGTTGTCATCTATTTGTATTGCTATTTTCAATATTCGTATCGTAAATAATAAAAGGAAAAGAATAAAATTAATACGAAAATTATTGGAAATAAATTTCTTTACTCAGAATTTTATTTATAACGTTTGTACGATCACTTTTAAAAGAATATTATATTATATTGAAAAACGTGAATAATTTTTTGCTTGGGTTATAAAATTTCAGTATTGTACTAAAGAATAAATAAATATTATTTAATTAATAAAGCTGAAAAATTAAATGCTTTTCAATTTTAATATCTTTCAACGATCACGAAATTAATTTATTGTACAAGAAAATATGTCACGTCGATAACCAATTTAACTTTTTTAAGAAAACTTGTTGAATTTACTATAGAAGATGTTGAAGTTTGAAGGTATTTAATTCAACACGATGAAAGGTTATCACATTTTAGAAAACATGTTGAGGAGTTTTTAAGTAACCGATATCTCTGTTGGATCACAGGCTTAAGCTTGGCACCACGTTTTCCAGACTTTTATATTTACAGAGCCAAGTTAAATTTCTTGTGTAAGAAAAACCTGTTTAAAATTAGATAGATTTTAAGATATTTAATTATTTTTTAAAAATCACTTCATTTTTTCGAATAGCTATTCTATTTTATGTCAATAATTTTAATAATAATTTAAGATATAATAAAAATTTAGATAGAAGAATCATTTTTAAAATATACAATATACTGA